GTCATGATGATTACATGCTGGAAATGTAATTACAAAATAAGAAAGAGAAAAAAGAAATAGAAGATAAAAAGTTAGATTTAGCATATAGATTGGAAAACCATATGATAACCATTTTTGTCTAAGTAATGTTTCACATAATGGATGACTAAGATGATTTGTACGGCCAAATTTTACCATCATCTATAGATTAGAACAATAGTTTTAATTCAGAAAAAGATTTATTTTAAAGTCTGTACGTTAAGTGGCAACATTGGATAACGATATTCTTTTCCATTAACTACAGTGATGTCAGTCCAGTTGATATAACGGAAATCATAAATGAGCTAAAAAGGTACACAAATAGTACACTTATTTATGTACGTCAGAGTGGCTTACATGAAAATCTTTGTGCTTTCGATCAGCATGACCTCGAGTAATGCAACGATTAAACAAACTAGGTACACAGTCTGGTAAATGTTCAATAAGACCAAGTAATGGTGTTAGATATTTTATACTTGTCAAACCTAATGCTTCTTTCCATCTAATCAATATTGATAATCAAAAGCTTAAAATATATACTTTATAATGAAAGAATTTCAATATTACCGTTCATGATTAATTATTGCAAGACAAACATCTTTTTGTTTTTTCATAATAGCTAAATCAAAAAATGTTTCATCATCAATATTTTTTAGAAATTCAGCAGATTTTGAAAGAAGTAAATCAACGCATTCAACATGACCAGCTAAAGCAGCACAATGTAATGGTGTCATTCCAAGACGATTGACTGAATTTATAAGATGAGCATGAGCTTGAAGAATGATATGCATTGTTGAAACATGTCCATTCGAAGCTGCTTCATGTAATGGTGTATCTCCATCAAAGCTTTTTGTGAATTGTGCACCTTTATGTAATAATAACTGAACAACACGTGTATGACCATTTTGACAACAAAGATGAAGTGGTGTTTGACCTAAGTGATCAGGTTCATTCAGAATACGTTTGAAACCTGCTGTATCTAACAATTGTCGACATGTATTATATCGACCATATCTAAATATAGACAATGTTCATCAAACTACTTTCTCAAATAAATAAATAAAAATGACTTACTGAGCAGCAAAATGTAATGATGATTGTCTTTGATTTGTTTTTTT